TTTGCTCCTGAAAATATAACCTCGGCTGTAGCGCTTGAGAGTGATATACGTAGTTTGATTGACATATCCACAGAACATTACCTGAGTGTAAACCTAGACAAATCTATGGTAATGCTCTTTGGGAGACAAAAAACACGTATGAAGTATGCTAGCTCTTTCTTCATAAATATTAACAACAAACCAATAAAGGTCAATGACACGCGTCGCAACTTGAGCTTAATGCTTGATAGCGATTTAAGATTCCATGAACATATTACTAGTAATGTTAGGAAATCGTTTGCTGCTCTGCAAATGATATATGCTAGTAGATGTTTGTTAACGACATCAAATAAGATAAGATTATGTGACAGTTAAATACTTAGTAATTTTAATTATGGTAAAGTCGATTTTCAACATAAATTTTCAAAAACCTGTTTTTGTAAGTTAAACTCCGGTCGTCATCTTGTAAAGTACTAATTTTGATTGTTCTCTTAGTAACTTTTATGCATACCTAATCTAACATTTGACACCAAATTCATCTAGTCTGTTTTTTTGTATTTGTCATGGTTTTTAGTATCGGTTTAGTGCCTAGTAGAATAATAATAATCACTTTACCGATATAAAGGTTGACGGTTCAAATGGGCGTCTCTCTGAAGTCCTGCGCATATATTACGAAACACCCTGTATGTTTTTAGAATTCGACCTACATTTAAATTTTAACATCGTTTTGTACGCCTAATGGTTTTATTTTGTAAAGTACTTTGCAAAAGTCTCTTTGCAAAACTCAAATATTCACACCTATAATCAAATGTACACGATGAATATTGAGTCAACATTAGCCGAATATGGTAGTACTGTATATGGCCCTTGCCTTGATGCTGTTTACGAATAATTTATAAACTTAGACGACCAAAACATGTTTCTCATATGTTACAAATTGCTGGCTGATTAAACATGGCTAATAGAAGAAAGTTCAGATTGCTTACTTTTTATCATATACTTTTAATGTTGCGAGAACCACGTTATTTAAGTGATAAGATAACTTTCAGAACAGATATTCACAATCTAAGTGTTAGAAATAAGGGTCTAATTTCTCCTCCGCAGCATGCAACAGTACTATTTCAAAGATCATTTACGTTCACCGTCCCGAAGCTTTACAATCCCCTACCGGGAACTTTGAAATGGGCGCCAGCAGCGGTACTTGCACGTAACTTGAAATTTGTATTATTCAGACTTTGTTATGATGAATGAGCGAATTATAATTAAAATGTTAACGTACGATATAAGCAAGACAATAGAAAAAGGAATATTTTTTTAGTTATTATTACTATTATTAATATTATAATATTATTAATATTAGTCTTTTTAGTTATTTTTAGTTTATAACTCTTTGTCTTTTGGTTTTATTTTTAAGAATGTATTTGTTTTTTTCATTTGATTATTAATTTTGTGTTTTTTTTTTTAATTTTGTTTAAACAGGGTTGAGTGGAAGAGAAAGACTTAGGTCCTTAACTACGCCCTATATACTTTCATTATAGATAATGTAATGATTTCAATAAAACAAAGGCATTATTATTATTATTATTTTGTTATCCGATTTTATCTATTTTATTGGCGTTTCACAGATTTTTGTTTTTGTTATATAGCATTTTCAGGAACATGACCTACCTTGAAAAATCCATCGTAAGGAAATAAATTTATGTGTAATACGAATATAATTTCAATTTTAGCGAGTTTAGAATTGTTTTCATAATGAATCAGACGCAAGCCATAACCGAATAGAAACATTATACTAACAATCCGCTATTGCTGCGAATTATGCAACTAAAAATTAGAGATTTTCCAGAATTGAGAATTAAAGACGTTTCTGTCAAAAAGTGATCAATGAATGCATGCTTATAACCGAAACGAAGTGTCAGTTTCCAAAGAAGAATGGCGATTACTACACCGATGACCATCTCGAAAGAATGAGGAAAGAATGAATGCCATATACATAATTTTTAATATTAAAAAATTAAATTGTTCACTTAAGAAACTTAAATGATAGGTTTTAAGAAGAAATCACTAGGAAATTGTTAACAAAACACAGTAAGTAAATTTTCAAAACATATAATGAAAAATTTAAATTCAAATTCCAAATAATTTTAATAAAGATTTTTCTATTAATTTATTATTTTAATTTAGTGAGATCCTTGGGCTTGATGCTTATTGCACAGAGATTTTATATTAGGTTCCAATTTGGTTAGCTTCAGTCTCAAGTCTCCACGTTGTGTTATATCCAGCCGATTTCTTTTTTTTACCAGTACTCATTTACAGTACTAAATCCACATTCAGCTAAATATGAAGATGGAAACGGTAGCAATAGTTTTCTTGCACATTTGGTTGAATTTGGGTATTTGATTTATGTTTCCTCACAAACCCATGCCATTGCTCCTTTTATATTAAGTAAAGTTTTAACTGACTCATCATTTTGCAATTCTGCGAGTTCTTCTTGATACTGCATATTTGATGTATGAGACAAATCCACTAACATTGGCTGCATCATCCATGTTGGAAAATCAATTCAATTGTTAAATCAGAATATCTTTCTTTTAAATCAGCCGATAGAATATTCAGATGATTGACAATAACAAGTTAAGCGGTATCAGTTACTTCACATTTTTGGAGCGAATGAAACTGTTCAAAGTTTTTATAGTTAATATGTTTCTGACATAACTCAATTTGAGTAATGAAACCAAATATCTTTGCTTTTGCATCGACAAGAGTTTTATTTGTTCCTTTTAGTTGCTTATTTAATATATTTAGTTTTTCAAAGATATCGGCTAAATAACTCACAAATGCTTTACTTTTATAGCCATCTTACTTCAGTATGAAGTAAAAGTCTCACATGGTCTTCATTTTGTTCTTTACAAAATAGCTTGAAGAGACGTTCACATTTGGCATTAACTTTAATAGCATAACACACTTTATTACTGAATGTAGTACTTCATTTAGAACAGGCGAGATGTTTTTAGCTACCAAGTTAACCAACACAATGCACAAGAATCGTTTCTGGATTCGCATCTTTCATCAATTTTAAGCAGCCATTTTTCTTGCCCATCATATTAGGGGCACCATCTGCAGCACAAGATGTTATATTTTTCAATGGTATATCATTGACATCTAAGTAGCTTTTTAGCTTATTATATATTATATATCTTTGGGGGTACTGGCGCTTTCTAATCTTTTACAGAACAACATTTCTTCAGCAAATATCTTACTTATCAATATATCTTACGTAAGTTATCAATACTGCCTCACTGTCTCTCAAAGTTGATTCATTCATTTGCACTAAGAAATTTCTTGTTTTCAGCTTTTCAACAAGTTGTTTTTCAATATCTTCACTCATTTCGTATATTCTTCTGCTAACAGTATTGTTACTGAGTGGCATAGCTTTTACATCTTTGTCATCTTTTTCAAGAACCGTTTTAAGAAATTCTGATATTGACTGTTTTATTAAATTCTCTCCTATAGTACGATTTTTTAGCTTTCGTTCCAGTTTTAGCGATGAGTAAAGAAATTTGATAACTAGCCTCAAGAACACGATTATTAGTTGAAGTATGAGCAGTAAATAGAGACTTTAATGTTGATCTCTTTTCAAAATTTCTCTTTAAAATTTTAAAGTAATTCAAAACTGAATTAATATGAGGACTATGTCTTGGCTTCAAATGCGCCTCAAGACGACCTCGTTTCGTTGATTCGTTGGTCAAGCATTGCTGGCATAAAAGACAAAGAAGAATCCGCTCATCGTGGACAGCGGATTTTAAATATTCCTCCGAATATTGACGAGTTTTTTTCTTGCTTGCACCACTCAATTTACTATGGGCTATAAGAAATAAATATAAGTATACTAAAAAATGCAAATTTATTTAAATGTATATAACACATTTACTACACTGCCACCGCAAAATAATATATTCTTTCCATTTGACAAAATTTTCTGGAAAATTATGCTTCTAACAATAAAATAAATAATAATAAAATCAAGTACTTACCAATTATATCTATGCAATGTATATATTTATTAAATCAACGAGCTTTTACAACAGTTTTGACGGACACTTATTTGAAATTAACACCAACTGAATGCTGTGAAACACTATAAAAGTTGCGTTGGGCCATTCAGGTGCGAACAACTGCGTTGTTTAGCGAGATTTTAAAACGTCCGGGGTTCCCCGCGGAACCGGCCGTCTGCCGCAGGGAAGTTTACTTGACGACGCCAAACACCCAGTTGATATTTTGGTCTCGTCTAGCGAAATTATACCTAATAATTATTGACCGCAATTATTTAAGAATTTGCTTTTTTCGTTAAATTGGGCACCGAAATTTAGCATTGGATTTAAATGACCCGGAGTGAAAGGGTTAAACTCGTGTCGAGTCCATTTTCGAATTGCCTCCCTTAACAATCAAATTGCCCCCTGTGGGGCGTGGGCCCCACGTTGGGAAACACTGCCATAGAGGCAACGGTACTCACGATCAAGGAACAAAGATGGCGAGACAAGATGAATCTTTTATTGGCGTTTCACCGATTTCGCTTTTTGTTACATAGTATTTTCAGGAACATGACCTATGTTCAAAAATTCATAGTAAGGAAATAAATGTATGTGTAATATACGAATATAATTTCAATTTTGGCGAGTTCAGCATTGTTTTCAAAAACAGCTCCGGGCTGTTTAACTCTACAAACATCATAAAATAAATTTATTAAATATATTTGATATTTTAGTTTGGAATATGTAAACAGAAAACACTTAAGTTTATAAATAATAAATAGACAAAAACGTCTTCCGGTTTAAATATTAATTAGAATGAGATAACTACAGTTAAAGAATGTTTTATGCGAAAAATTTTCTCTGAGATGTTTTAAAATTTTCCTCCTTTAACCCGGAAACAAGAAATTACTTGTTTACATTTATACGAATTTAATTTAGCGTCGGCATTTTACGGCGTAATCTTTAATACATAAAATAAACATTACTCACATTATGCTTCCAGACAACTTTATAGGCACCCGGATTGGCATTCACCTTGCATTCGAAATAGACGTCGTCCTTCTCCTCGATGTCGTTTGGATTTAAATTAGATCCAAGCGATAAATGCAAAATGGGGACATCTGCAAAAACAAAAAGGATTAAATCAAAAAGACAAAAAGCTCACGTCGGAGACATCGCCCGTCTGTTTGCTGTTAACACTAAAAAGTCCCCGGATTTTAAACCGCCAGCTTTCGATCTTCTTTTTCGTGCCGACCTCGTTTTCCGGTTTTCTTTTATCCCAATGGTCGACGCCATTTCGCACAGCTTCGTCCAGCATTGTTTTATACCAACTTTTAAATTCTCCGAGTTTATTATAGCTGTTTAGTTGTTTTATTTTTCGGTCTGTCAAATTACGGAACTCTGCTTTACTAAATTCACGAATATGTGCCGCAGGACATTCGCAAAAATGTTTCCATTAAGAATTAATTTGAACAATTAGTCGTTGAAATTTAATTAACATAATTAAGGGTTTTTAATTTAAAAATTAATAAGGTTTAGTGTTAACACTTAAGCGAATATAATAAAAAATGTTAAACGAGAAGTCCTAAAGGTTTTATTTTGTAGGCTATTATATTGTAAGAATACTTACAGAAAACGTTTAGTTTGATGGAAGTTTCTTCGATGCCGTTCTGTACGAAATGGTTTGCAGCCCTACACGTGAGGGTTCGGCCGTTATCCAATCTCGTTGGGGTGAAAACCAGCGTAGATGTGCTCATATTTCCGTCGTCCGAATCCTGCGAAATGAGGTTCGTCTTAAAGCCGAGTCCGAACAGAGATATTCCATCTAGATAGATGCGCGTTTGGTTATTTATTGGTATTGCAACCGTCCGTTCGGCTTGGTTGCATAAATTCACGGTTCAAATCCGGAATAATGCCGTCAGAATGTTTATTAAACGTGCCAGATAAGCCACCACCTGAAAGGGGGTAGGGCGTCAACGTTACCTGGTCCGCATATTTGAGTTTTCTGACTGTTTGTTCAAAGTTGGCAAGGTTTGTTTTACGGGAAGTGACTTTGCTAATTTCCGCCAAACTACACTGCTAGCAACGCGCAGGTAAATATTTGCGAAGCGGTTGTCATAATAATGATAAAAGTAACGTTTTGGAACAATATGTTTCAGAACTCAGAGAAGTAATCGATTTGTCAGAATAAAACAAAAATGAATTAGCTTTGTTACCGTTTGGGTTGAGTTATACATGGGTAGTTTTAGTTCTTTCTTGTCTAGCGACCATGTAATTTGGACAGCTGGTTTAGACCCGAATGCTTGACAGGGGATTTCGTATCTTCGATCTGCTGATAGGGGTTGATTACTTGATAATATTTCCACCTTCAATGGGCGAACTGTAAACAAAAAAAGTTGCATTTAATAACACAAAAAAATCGTGTAGATTGTTACAAAAATGGAGAGAGATAGCAATATAAATCATAAAATAAAGGCGCTTAATCACAAAACAATTCCGCGCAATATTTGCAGTACAATTTATCGGAAAATGTATCCGACATTTTGCACGGCGAAAGAGTCCCTGGAAATAATACCGCAATGCCCCAAATCCAATAATGCATTGTTCAATATTTAACATTTTACAATTTCGAATTCCGCTTTGTGTTTACGCGAGCTGCCGGCACGACGAAAGCTTATTTGTTGACACTGCGGCCGAAATTGTATTTTCTGTGCACGCCGAACTGCTGTCCACCCGTGAAATATACAACCAAACGGGCGATATTTTTTTGGGAAGCAGTTGATTATCCGTTTCGGCGGCGGCTCCGCGATCAGTTTTAAAATCGCAGCCGAACCGTGACAGATTAATCGCCGCAGAAATTGTATAATAAATGTTGCCCTCATTGATTTATCGCAAAAATCTGGGCTCGATCGCACATAATTACCAAACTAATAAATGTTATCAATAAATCATGCATCTAGAACGGTCACAACTCCAGCTTAAATCTAAATATTACAGAATTAAAACTTTTAAGCATATAAATAATATAACATAATAATACTAATACTATTAAATCATGATATAAATACAGAAAAAGAATGAAATATCAATCAGGTAATTAATAAAGAGCAGGAAAGGTATAAGTTCCATTGATTTTACCTGCACCCTATAAGATCAACAAACACTGAAAGACGGTAAAATTGTTATAACAAAAACAACTCTTAAACGCCGTTTCGTACAAAACAATAAGTTTGAACACACGAGCCGAAATCATTGAAAAAGTTACCCAATCCGCCAGAGTTTGCCGATATTTCGCAGTTTTGGACAACATGCTCTGCACCGCAGTTACACATGGGGTCCGATGCTTTCCAGTTTTCCAGATAATGTGGGACAAATCAAAACCAACTGGCTTGCTAGATATGTTCAGGTATCGGCTCATTTCGAGGGTGGCGGTCTGGTTCCATGGCAGTCCCCAGATCCGCTCTATGTTAAAGTCTTTATTGTGTAGTCTTAGCTGTCCTTATTGCGGGATCTCCAGATTTGAGCCTGGTGTATCAGCTGTCCGTTGTCCAATATTTTTTCTCGGACCAAAGTGTCTTCTCAGCATGGGCGGTGAAATGTGGCTGAGCGCAGGAAGCCAGTGTTTTTATACAGCCAGTGATTGTTCGCATGGTGGAGTTCAGTTGGGTATCTAAATTGTCAGTTTGTTCACTATTCAGTCAGATGGGTGTGCAGTACTCGGCAGCACTGTAGACAAGTCCTAGGGCCGAGCACCGCAGGATTGGACCATATAATTTCTGAACGATATTGCTGCTTGTGCCAAGTTTAGCTGTTGTGTTTTTCAGATGTGATCGATATGTGAGGGATCTGACAAAGTCACACCAAGGTACTTTGGATATGGGTTGTGTGCCACAGGGTGATCACCAAACCGAATGTCCAGCGGACCTGAGTGTTATGAAATGTCTATCCACACAAGTACGAAAAGAGATCCGATGTCATCGGACTGAGGGGAGCGGCCCCTCTCGTCACCGCCACCTATAAGATCTATTGTAACTTTAGCCCTCCAAAAGTTTAGGGCAAATTTACGTCCTTAATGAACCTTAGTATTGCTCCAAGGCCTTGTTCCTTTATGTCGGTAGATGTCAAGAGAGCTTTACCGAAAATTTTGTGTTTTAGACGGCCTCTGGCGACGCAATTGCACAGTATATGTTCAGCCGTTTCTGACTCGTCCTTGCAAAGTCGACAAGTTTGATCCTCAGCTTGTCCAATCTGGAAGAGGTGGTATTTTAAGGGCGCATGGCCGGTCAGGAAACCTGAGAGCGTCCTTAGATTCCCCTTTGCTGACACATAAAACCTCTTTGGTATTGGTTTGCGACGGAGTTATCATCCTCTTCGCTTGTCTGTGACGTAGAAGATCTTTCCAGCATAAGGCTACCTTTGAGGCCTCCTAACTATTGATTATTTGCTTTAGGTGGCCTTTTGTAGTCCACAAATGGGTTGGGGTTCAATGAAGGGCGTTTTCGCTGCCTCTCTGGCCAGCTTGTCCGCCTTCTCATTGTCCTCAATGTTTCTGTGACCGAGAACCCACCATAGAGTAATACCATTGCCCCTAGTGAGTTCTCTCAGATTGCTGGTATATTCTCTGATCAGTGGGGCGTTACACGTGGCCTACACATATAGGGCGGCCCGACTGTCTATGAAAATGTTCATATATCCCAGGCGTTTTAAAATGCGATGTGTAACAACCCGGGAACACAATACCTTCCTTTAATAGCGTAAAGCATCTGTAGTAGTCAATATCTTAGTGTCGTGGTCACCACGTAACGAGTTATTTGTCCTCAAAGCGCGTTCGGGTATTACATACCCGAATGTAGCATGTTTATTTATTTTCTTATTCTGGTGTATTTGACAAATTTGTATAAACAGAAGTGGAAAATGACTGACTGCAGCTTCGACACGGTTAACATTTTTCTGCTAAAATCTATACAGACTCTGAATACAAATAATATATAACATTTCACAGGTAATTTGTTTTCGCTTTCAGTTTTATGGCAGGCCATTATGAACGAGAACAAGCACGATTATTAGCTCTCTGGGAAGAGGTTGAAGAAGCCGAAAATCCCATTGGCTCCGAAAGTGAAGACGAATCTGATTTTGTATGTGACAGTAATCATAACTCTGATGGTGAGGAGGATGCGAAGAAGTAACTGAAAGTGAAATACCAAAAATCTGTCGAAAATATTTAGGCAAGGATGGTACAACATGGGTTTTACAACATTTTCCCAAGAATGTTCGCACACGTACAGAGAATATAATCACACACCTACCAGGCGTAAAAAGAATGCCAAGAATGCTAAAACACAAATTGAATGTTTCAATCAGTTTTAACTTCTGATATGGTGGACGATATTGTGATGTGTACCAATATAAAAATACGGCAGAAATCTGTTTGCTACGATGAAAATCATCAATACGTTGTACGGGATACGAATGCAACAGAAATAAGAGCTTTATTCGAACTTCTCTATCTGGCAGTAGTTTTCAAAAGTTCTAGGCTAATCTTGAGGAGCTTTGGTCGACAGATGGAACTGGGATAAGTTTATTCAGAGAAACAATGTCTTTGCAAACGTTCATTTTCGTGCTGTCTTGCTTCCGCTTTGACAACATAAATAATCGTGCGGAAAGGAAAAAGATTGACAAGATGCAGTGAGGGCATTATTTGAGAAATTCGTTGAGAATAGCCAGAATTCGTTTACTCCAACCGAATGACGAAAAGTTGGAAGCATTCAGGGGTCGCTGTTCTTTTCGTCAATACATGCCCAAAAAGCCAGCATGTTATGGTTTGAAAATATTTGCACTTGTAGATGCGAAATCATACTTTGTTCCCAACTTAGAATTGTACGTGGGACTGCAACCTGATGGTCCATTCAAGTTGAGCAATAAGCCAAACGTTGTGGTTCTTAGACTTATAGCTCCAATTTCCGGCACAAAACGAAATGTAAGGTTTATTAATTGGTTCAGCAATTATGATCTGATGCTAACACTGTTGAGACAACACAAAATTACATCCGTCGCGAAGGTTAGGAAGAACAAACGGCAAATGCCCGAGAACTTCAAAGTAGTGAAACACAGACCAGACCATTCCAGCAAACTTGGTTTTCAAAAAGATAACACTTTAGTTTCCTATACACCAAGAAAAGGTAAGGTTGCACTTCTTATGTCTACGTTACACCATACTCCAGATATTGATGAAACTACTGGGGATAAAAGAAAACCGGAAGTAGTTTCGTTTTATAATGCTACAAAAGGTGGCGTAGATGTCGTTGATGAGCTGTCGGCGAGCTACGATGTATCTCGCAATAATAAAAGATGGACACTCACGATTTTCTATGCTCTTCTAAACTGTGCTGGTATAAACGCCAAAGTGATATATCAGATGAATACTGGTGATTTTCAAATGAAGAGAAGATAGTTTCTGAAAACATTGGCCATACAACTGTTGACTGAGCAGAAAGCAATCAGAACTCTGAATAAAAGGCTCCCACGTGAATTGCAACTCCCCAGGCCAGCAGACGAAATGAATGTTGATGAACCACCAGGGAAACGACATAAACTATGTAGAAGATGCGAATTTTGTCCTAGCAAAAGTGACAGAAAAACATTTTATAGATGTGCAAACTTTAAAAAACCTGTTTGTTTAGAACATTCTGTGGTATCGTATGATGACTGTAGCCCTTATCAAGATATACTAGAGTGAATAAAAATTACTTAAAATATACACAAAAACCAAAATTTTTATTTATTCTTCTATCAATGTATTTTACGATATGTCATACCCCACCACAAAGGTTGTATGCAAAAAACCCACCACACTGTCGCCGGGTTAAAGCTGCCTCCTTATGTATATATAAATGCAGTAGTGTGAGACCGATCTTATTGCGCTCGTTTTGTACCAGCTGTTGTTGTGCTGTCTTATGATTTGTTTTTAGTCACCAAACCAGTGAAGCATAGACGACCATGGTCTGGTTATTGCTACGTAGGCCCAATGAGTCATTCGTTATTTGAGACCCCAGTTCCTTCCGAAGAGGCTGCGGAAAATCTGGTTAGCCATAATGGCCTTTTTCCTCACCTTGTCTATGTGGGAGTTACGGTTTAATTTACAGTCTAGTATTACCCCCAGGTATTTAACTTCTGTTTTGGGGTTATGCTTTCAATGGAGGGTGCTCTCAATTGTAGCTTCATTGCTTCTGCACCAAGTGCTAGTGAGTACTAGGGCTTTCTGCATTAGTTGAACGGCCGTGTTAGTTTACTATAAGACCTAATTCCTAAGCCGTGCAACTAGCATCAAGGTCTGTGAAGCAACTGTTTCTATTCCCCGCGTAACAATCTGGATTTCAAAGCACTTCCATGTTATTGAAGTCTGTAATCTCTATTTTCCATAGTACTTCTCAATCATAATCAGATCGCTACTCAGAATTCCCTTCGTCTTCTGCACGTTGTTACGTCTCACAGCCAGTGTCAAATCATCTGTGTATGAGAATTGAATTTTACACTAGTAAATCCGGTATGTCCGCAATGTAGAGATTCAAAAATGTTGGTGCAAGGACAGATCCTTGGGGTAGTCCGCTATTTAATATTTTAGTGTGGCTCTGCGTTTGTCCCTAAATGTCACTACATGTTATTTAGCAGCAAGCACAGTGTCATACAAGGGATTAGACTTAGGAATTTAAAGAGCAGTCATTCCCTCCATACGGTGTCATGTCCGGAGTGTAATTCTGGCTTACCTCCTCCTGGTGCACTCTCGGTAACACTAAAAAACTAGAGCAATAAACGATCAGAACTATTCTTGCGATTTCCTGATCTATATACACATGGTTACCTCGAAACTAGTATACTTAAACAAGAGCAGAAAATGCTCAATAGAATCCACCGACACTTCATTGAAGGTAAAAGGAATACTGTCAAGATTTAATCGCTTCTCAGAAAATGATAAACCAAGTTGATCTCGAAATAGTGAAACACTTCAACATTTTCGTTTTGTGGCTTAGCGTCACCAAACACTCGAACGCTGTTGCGGCATGTGTACAGTACCATATTGTCAATTTTATCGTTTAATAACTAGTAGAAATGGATCTTTAAATTCTTTTGTAATTCTAAATAAGAATGGTCGACTCACTAAACAGAGCCTTCAATTCATCATGATTTTCGATAGTGAAACGCATGAATAGACGCTTGAATTATTTACTAATCGGTGGACTACCTTTACTCAAATTCTAAATAAATTTATTTAAGATTATCGTTCAATTTGCGATTAATTTAACGACAATTTAAGTATTAAATGGGAATAATTGGAGATCTGGAAGTTATTTTAAAAGTTTATGTGTAGACCACGAGTTTTGTTGAGCCAAAAAAAGTTAAATAACAGTACGTGGAACCTGGTTTCCGCACTTAAACTAAAAGTGTGCCGTGTCGGGATAAAATAATTCAATTTCGAAAATTGCTGGATCGGACGCCCGCGCACGTCGAACTAGTTTAGAGGAGAGAAAAATTCCGCAAAACTCGTCTGCACTTTTATTTAGTAGTGGTTTATATTTGCTTCCGCCTCCCGTTCGTAGTGCTACAACCAAATGGAAGACTCGGACTTTCGCACCTGCGTCTTCTACTTTCCGATGATAATTTATGATGGATTTAATAGAAACTGCAGTTTTAAAATTTAAATAAAAAATGTTACCTTTAAAATATTTAATGTACTTACTCGCTACATGGTTTTCAAATCATATTCAACATCAATCATTCGACGGTGTATAATGGTGAGTGACAATACATTTTTAGAGCTTTGCATATTTCAGGAATTAAACATTACAACATAACCTGACTGACACACTATCAACAATACACCTTCACGATGAAATATTAAAAGGTTTGCTATTGCGCAACTGGCATATTCACGAATTATTAACCTCCCTTTTCGGTGGGTCGAAACTTTTAAATTTACCTCGCGTTTGAATACAAAACTGAACTGGTGTAAACAACAGTGCCATCAGTCGGGTATAACTCGCGCAAACACCCGCTATGCACCGTATTTTATTTTTGTTCTTGTTTTACTGTGAAACGAATTTTGAAATCTCGTTCAGGATATGTGTAGATATATGTATTATCCGTCGCGATCATATTTCTGATACAAACAACTCAGGCAGAAAATACACCCAACTTTCTAGTGTTGATTCAATATAAAATGTTAAATAGCGATTACACCATTCGAATGTTATTGTTCAAAATTTTCGAACTCAATTTTTGTTTTTCCATAATGCATTTTGATTAATTTATTTTATCTGCAGAGAATTAATTCAAAAACAAATCAAGATCAAACAGAAGCGGTTTCAAGAATACTTAAATAATGGTTCAAATAAGCAGTATTGTGGTAAAATGAATCGTGGAGATTGTAGTTTTGAAACCTGGCTTGAGACAATATCAGGACAATATCTGGAGACAATATTAAGAACGCACAAAACTTCTTCTGGAGTAAAGGAAAAATTTTATTCATTGGTAACTTTAATATAACAGGTAATTAACCCAATCAAATAGAATGAAGAATTTTGTCAATAAATGCATTGCAAGCATTTAGCAGTTTCAGATTGATATGATATAATTGTAGAGTCTCGGCCGCAAGCGACCTCGGCTTAATCAGCGATAATCCTATATTCTCTCTTCTTAGTTTAACTGAGGTCGTTAATGGCCGAGTTGCTACAGTTTATGTCTACCAGTTTCGGGTTGACTTGAAATTAATTGTAGAGTCTCAGTCGCAAGCGACTTGGGCTTAATCAGGAAAAATGCTATACTCCCTTTTCTAAGTGTAGCCGTGGCCGGAGACGGCCGAGGCGCTTCAGTATGATAACCAGTTTCAGGTTGATATGATATTAATTACTAAGTCTCGGACGCAATCGATCTCGGCTTAATCGGTAAGAAGATCAACAACTTCGACTACATCTCGAACCAGTTTCTGAAGAAGGTTGCAAAATGGCATCCGAAACGTCAAACCTTTTCTTAAAAAACGCACGGAAAAACCCGAACGTTTCTAGTGTCAGTTCTAATTTTAGTTCAATTAACACCGGTCGTGAAAGCTTTCGTACTTATAAGATCGACAACTTAACCTGATAAAGCTGAGGTCGCTTGCGGTTGAGGCGCTGCAATATGATAACCAGTTTCAGCTTGATATAGAATTAATCACAGATCCTCGGCCGCAAGCGACGTCGGTTTAATCAGTAAGAAGATTTACAACTTAATCTGATAAAGCCGAGGTAGCTTGTGGCCGAGGCGCTGCAACATGATAAATAGTTTCAAGTTGATATAGTCACTAAGCTTCAGCCGCAACTGACCTCGGCTTATTCAGTCGAAAGATTTTCGACTTTACGTGATAAAGCCGAGGTGCTGCAATATGTCAACTAGTTTGAAGTTTATATGATATTAATCGCTGATCGGTGATTCCTATACTTTAAGTTAATCCTGATTTGCAAGGTTTTAACTTTTGTTGAGAGACGATTTGAATGGTAAGGTGGAGTGTAAAATAGTACCATTATACATTTAATCGATATTTAAGGCTTATATACATATATGTTATTAAGTAAATGTAAATATTTATTTCGAGTTGTGGCATAGAAAATTTAGTATCAACGCGATGGTACGAGAGTATAAAACGATTACAGTAGGCGTAATTGTTTATTGAACGAACGAGACCGATTCTAAACAATTGAGCGCGTGGCAACTGTGCATTGTTTAACGCAGACCTGTAAATTTATAGTGCAAGCTCGGCTCCGCCATATCTATAACAATAGAATAACGATTATGGTGGATAGTTGATAATGTTAATGTTTGACGTTGCGCCTGTCCCTATAAATACAAGTTCGCATGAAATTTACGACCACATTGGTATGCATAATTATAAATCTGAATCAGTGATTTCTGCGGGTGTTTAAAATTATGTGAATGTATAAAAATTGAGTTTTATAAAAATTTGTAAGGACACAATGAAAAGACGATGAAAAGTAAAGCCATTTGCATTGTATATTATAACAATTGCGAACGCTGCGAAATTGAAATAATTGGGTCGTATTTTTCTTTCTTCCCAATTAAATCCGCGCCCGTTTCAATTCCCCCTTCTTTTCAGTTAGCGCAATTAAGACGCTGGTTGGAGAATTCGCTCATCTTCTAAGCGAAAGCTGCGAAACCCCCTTTTCACGGTGAAAAGAAGCGATATCGTTTCCCGATACACTTGTCTGTCCAAGTTTAGCGAAGGGTGTTTGAACGAAGAAGTTCCAATATCTTTCCGTACACGCTGAATTTCAATGAGACGGAGTTTCGGATCGCCGAGGTAAACTTATCAGAAAAAAAAAAGACCGAGAAAAGAAGACGAAGTATTGAAATCAATGAATAAATCTGTTTCGGTAAATATGACAGTTTAGACAGAAGGGCTGCTGTACGCTGTCTAAATGTAAATTGCCGATACCGAGGAGCTATGTTTTCGTACAGTATGTATATGTATTGCATGTAGAGTTAGGGAGGTGCTTTCCCAAACTTTGAATAGAAATCGGTGTTGTATATTAAATTGAAATTTAAGTTGAACGTTTCAGTCTAAATTATTAGTGCATTTTCGCTCGAATTTATATTTTCTGTTTGTTTTTGTTAACAAAGATCTAAAAAGACCGGTTTTCTTAATTTGAAGGGTGGCAAGTCTGAACATAAATAATAAACGAAGCTTTTAAGAAGACAGCGTTTATTTATTGAGTACAAGGTACTCGTTTCGAAACGACCGATGTGGTGGGTGGAGATTCACCAAGGGAAAGTAGGAGGGAAACGGTGTTTAGGCCCGACCTTTCTGAAAGGTTAATCCATCTTGTACCCACGCCAAATTTTCTTCTGAGGAAGCTTGCAATAATTAACATCTACACGGGCACCTCTAATATTCATTACGACCGTATTGAACCAAAAATGTTTTTGAAAATATTATTTTGTTACGAAAAATTTTGGGGTAAAAAGATAAAATAGTAAATGTGGTACATTTACATAACTACCCTGTATAGACAGCTAACAGCAATTTCTTCGACATCTAGTGCTATTGCCTTGTATATGCAAGGACTGAATCTCCAACCTACCCTTGAGCGCATTTGTCGTCAACCAATAAAGTTAGAAATAACTCAACGCCTCTAGGCCCTTCCGAAATACCAGCGAGTTCTGCGGCTGACGTCTAATCTGCATAATGGTTCGTGAATATTGCGAAGGACTCTACAATGCTCTTGCCACCCGTTAAGGCATTGACGGCAATAATTTTTCGAACGGGAAACGGAAATTAGCAACATCGTTCTCCGGTCAAAAACCGAAATGCCGTCACTTACAGTATATCACAAGGGAAGTGCTCGCTGACACTGGCTGACTAATGTTGTTATTAGCGGCTTGACACGTGAATGACGCTTGCTGATCGGAACGCTGCAGATTCCTGATGACAAGTTGATTAGATCGGGCTTTCGGAAAATTGCTTCTCGTATCCATTGAGTCAATTAGCGTTTGTCCTCTCCACCACTTGATTATTGGTTCTGGTTTTCCTATAAACAAAACATAAATTAACCATGTAAATGCGATAAAATAAGTAATAAGTATATAAACGAATAAATAAATAAAAAAATAAGTAATAAGTAATAAATATTGAAACAATTATGATAAATATTTGATACATAAAAAAATCGATATAGAATAAAGTTAATTGAAAAGAATCGTTATTACGGTAAAGTAATAGTAGCAGTAAAGCAATTTAGAATACGTTAAACATAAATAAATGAAAAGGAAAAAATAATGTTTTTTTTTCTTTTCTTTGTTATTGTTGATATAACACAATTAAAATGTAGTCGTATATTTACCGATACATACATTTGAGAACAACAGGAAGTCATAAAACTGGAGTGGAGGCGTTACTAGAATATAGAACAAGCAACTCGTACAGGCAGAAAAAGCCGGCAAACAATATTTCCGCAAGTAAAATGGGAAAACGTATACGTGTCTCTTAGTCTCGAAAGAAATATTGTTCGGGTTCCGGTGGGGACGTCGTAAAAAATCCTTGATTCTTTTTCCCGCAACGAAAGCGATGATTGCACGTGCCGATAAATCGCAAAAATCTAAATCAACTATCTCTGCCGACGATACGCCGACGATTCTCCTATTTTGTTTTCGTACCAGTTCCAGATGTAAAAATATACGCGCCGGAATTTATTCTTTTAGCCCATGGGGAAAAGATTGTCAATTTCCCGCGAAAGGCACGTTAAAAGATAAGGGCGTCTGTTTCGAGCGCGCGAGTGAAAGGCGCCCGAGGTAACAAAAGATCCCGCCTAAATTGGGTTGCTCGGGCCTTATCTCAATTTTCAAAATAGCGTAATGTTGTTATCGACCATCTTCGCTGCAAATCTCCACGCAGAGTAGACGAATTTATTAAATTAGAATGTTCCTGGGAAGTACCGATGATGTATACCATCATCACATCGAAACGAGGTATTCACGACTCTGTCAAGTATTTCCTAAATTAACTGAATTCCTGTCTATAGCGTACGTCGTTCCTGCTTATACATAAATCGTATTACCATACCTAATTAGTTGTCTAATAAAACATGCAGGTACGGTATGGGCTAAAACAATGGATTCTCGAAAACTCTCTTTGTGCAGTTAAGAGATCGAGAATCGAATTACATTCCGAATCGTTAATACCTTTACAGAAATTCATTTACCTTTCTTGCATAATGCTTAGCTTACTGAAGAACAAAGCAAATTAGTAAGTTCTATAATATTGTTATGTAATAAAATTGAAATTACAAGATCTACTTTATAAACTAATAGATCGTGCTACATAACCATAATTTACAAGAAAATGCCTTATTTTCCATTCAAAAATCGCTTTTAGATTGTGGTTTTGTGTGAGACTGGACGTGATTTCCATTCTAGTCGAGCATTTTGCGGAACTTATTGAAGTGTACGATGTTCATTTCACAATCGATAGGCAAACGGTGTAGTATAGACTGCGCACTCTACAGTAGTGTTTAACTAAATACTATGTTACCAACCCAATCTGAGTACGTTACAGTACTATATCGATCGGAACGGTCGTCATAAAAACGTACGGCAAACATTAAAATGCACGAGCTCGACATTGTCTCACGTGCCATCACCACGAAACGATTTCCAGCAAATTTCAAACTTCTACACTACGGTCACGTTCGGCATAGTTGAATTTTTTTTGTTGCAATTCCATGCAATTTGAAGATTTTTTTATACTAAGATTATTAATATGTTCTTATTTATTTATTGTAGTTGTGGTAAAAGGTAAAAGTGTATTACCAATTTGGACGTAGAAGTGATTATCCAAGGTTATGACCAACATTCGTCAGTGTTAGATGCTAAACGACCATTGATCTTACTCTGGAATTCCCGTAGACATTATGTAAGACTAATAACTGATATGTTTTTGAGGAAGTGTTACAGCTTTATATGACGATACGCTGTTGCAAGCATTCCAAAGAGCACGCTCCAAAAAAAACATTTGCAAGAAAGTTCACTCTATGACTCTATGATTCTGATTTCTAAGAGTTTTGATGGTGTAAAATATCAAAGAAACACTCCAAATATAGTATTGGCATTCTATTTACGGCATTACTAATGGATATTTATTTTTCAGTTTTATTGTAGAATTTACCAAACTTATATCAAATGCTGTAATAGACACCAATCCAAGGACCGAGTTAGATTTCTGCACCAAGCAATGTAAGTTAAGGAATTTAAACTCGGTGCTTTCTTAGACAAAGCATTAAGATGAAACTCCTTTATCGAAGCAAAATGCAGCCAACGTTTGCAAACGCAAAATGCCCGAAAGAAAATATGCTAGATATGAGGACTGAATTCGAAGGCTACAACATGTGTCTGCATAACTTTGTTGTAAATCATGTTTGACCACGAATCCATAGTTCGCAAAATATATTAAAAACCTTTCAGAACAGGTATGTAGTTTTTGCCTATCGTAAATATTTATGTTGTCAAGGCAAGGGCTGCACTAAACGATTCAATTTTCGTTCTTTTTTGACACACACATTTAGTTCCTTGCCTAGAACATTAGTCTCATTAGAGACATTGATGATGGCTCGCAGAACTTTGTTTTGAAAACACTGCGGGATTCCTATGTTGGAAACACTGTCAGTGCCTCGTAGCTGAATACCATACGTTTACACTGGTGTCAGGATGAATTTGTATACCAATCTTTGTTATTTAGAGGTAGAATGGAACCACGGGAGAGGAGTTGTGATGAATACCGGAATAATAGAGATGGTGGATAGAAACATCAACTACGGGTGAACCATAATATACATTAAGGAGAATTTAGTTTAGTGTGGGAAGGGGAAGGACAATCATTTTGATCGTTATGAATGTAGGTAAAGAAAGCTGCTTGTGCTTCTTATACAAGATCCATATATTATAAATGATGCATGAAGAGTGGTAGTAGGAAATAGAAAAAGTATGAATGTGTTTTTGGAAGATGCAAAGGGATCTACCATCTCGTACAGAGTTTTTAAATGATGATGACACCGAGTCGGCAGAAGTTAGTATTGTATCAGCTGTAAAGCTCATTCCATGATTGTTTAAGTATATGAAGATCCATGTAATCAAACTAGCGAAAATTTCAAATCTGGTGTTCAAGTCACCTAAAATTATCCTTTTACAGTATTCCTTCAATACCTCTTTCAATCTTGGTTACTTTATCTACGTTTCTCTATCTCCCATTCTGGTCTTTTAATTTATAATCGCAATAAATTGTTCTACCAAACCTTTCTAATTGTCTCTTAACCTTATGCCTGTCTTGTACATCACATATGATGTACTCACTTATGTATGAAACATTAGTAGTTTAATATGGACAGGCAATGGGTTGAATTCCTTCTGCTTTCAATGCTTGCATCATTGTCCAACTTTCTCACAATACTGTCTTCACACCCTGTCTGGATATGGCTGAATTGTTGCTCTATATTATTTCGACATATTTCAATGGCCTTTCTCAGTAGCTTTTGAGGGCTACTTTCTATTTGCCTCATTTCGATTTTACAAATATTTGTTCTGGATTAGTAGAATGCTAGGATTCCTCACTAAGGGCCGCATTAAGGAACACACTTTACTTGCAAATATAATACATTTAAAATAATTTTAGTTTAAAGAAATTTAAGTTCGACTCTGTCCTTGCCCGACCGGCTTTTATTTATGACTGTCATAAAAACCGATGTCCATGTGGAAGACTATATCTATATGCAACTTTTGGGTCATTGTCTCTGAAGTCTTCTTGCATTTTTGCAATGAGATGGTTTTCATATTTCCTTTTCTTGGTTCTGCACATTTTGTCCGCCTTTTCTCTGGTTCTCTGGTGGTTATGTACTTCGTGTACTGCACGTTTCATTACTTTCTTCTATCGCCTTTCTGCATCTTTTTTTCAGGTTGTTCTCGTCTTCCTCTTCCTTTACCTATTGTCGTCATTTGCTATTACAATTAAGAAGTAGTACTACTATTGAGGAAGCCAATTGCTGTTTTAATTGCTTTCCAATGGTGCTCTACTTGTAACATTAGTTTCTTTCCCGTAAAGTTTCTTTAAATTTCAACTAGATTTTGGTCAGATCTGCAGCACACTCCTTTTTATCGGTAATTAAAAATTTGTGTTTACAAATATATTAGTTATTATGTTTGTAGATTTTACTTTAAAATATCTTGAGTTACTCAGATTAACAAAATAAGTTGTAGGGGTACCATGAACTACATCAAGTTACCAAAATGCTTTATTACAAAGGTGGACTTCCTTTTTCCTGCAAAAATATGTCTTAGCTTACCGCCGTAATTTTATGCATACCACTTCATCATCTTCTTCTAAAATATTCATCGTGCTGTAGCGACTAAGGAATCTTTTTACCCACTACCACAAAAAGTTGAACAAGAAAACTATGAAATTCCAAAGAAATTTTATGAAAAATTACTTTGTTCTTTAACACCATATTCTTAGAATATAATTAGATTAACATTTTTTAATCAGATAGTGTAGTGAGGTTGCTTATTTTTAGATGAAGTCACTCAACGCACTTGATACAAAACATTAATTATTTCATGAGCCGTCGTGCGGTCGTACAATTAAACTACCTTCATTTGTATTCCGTCCTTGATGGTGAACACCAGGTGAGAGGGTAACCTCATGAATCCATACTATGCTTCTATGCCACTATAATTACATTTGCCAAAATTAAAATAATAAGAAGGAATCCGGTCGATGTCCAGTCTAGTAGAATTCATCCTTTCGTAATAAGTTGGTTTAAGGTAACCTTTCTCGATTAGAATCATTTTCCACATTTTCCGAAGCCTTGTAAATAAAATATCTTCGGTCATGAAAACCACAAATATTCCATTATTGTAGAATATTCATGTTAATATAATAATAATTTCATAACAATAGATTATGAAGCGTAATAAAATGTGTATGCAATTGTTGTTATTTCCATTATAATGTATTTTCCAGATATAAATATTTTATTAAAAATTGTTTCCAAATTTAACAATTTGAATAATAATAAAAGCTATTTCTGTGATAATTACTATTTGCTTTTATTTTAATCTGTGCTTGTAAACGTTTAAAAACAATCATGAATAATCCACAACAAATTCGCCGAACAAGGTATTGATATCACCCTAACAATTTAATCACTTTAAATCTTGTTAGTTAACAGGCACTAATTTTAGAGATAGGGTTACGTTTACCCAGGACTTTAGATGGTTAAAAGTAGCCTCGAGTCATTAACGCCGCACCACAAATCAATGGAAACGGAAATGGAATACGTTCACGGTCCGCTAAGGATGGCACTGAAAACCATTTTCGGAGATTAATCTTGCGCACCATTAGTCTAATTGGTTGATAGTTTAACCTCCGTTAGGATCGTGTGTGCATAATTTTAGCCAGTTCAGTACACTTTAACAAACTGTACGAGAGCTGCTGGCATGATTTCTGGAGGACGTGCGGGATAAATAACAGATGGACGTGTCAGATATTGTGTGGTCCGGCCGAGAGGTCGTGCAATCTGTCGAATATGGTATACAAGGGACACGAAACGGTCTAGAGAGTGGACACATTTTTCGGTCGAGATGTGCTAAAACTTACCCCCTGTCACGATGCACGTCAGCTTCACGTCCCCACCCTCGTCGTATGGTCCGGCGGTCGATAACACTTTGTTACCCTTTTCGTCATATATACTCGGTTTTTCAGGTGGTACTGAAAAAAAAAAATAAAAACATTAATCCAAAATTATACTAAAATCAATATAATATAATAGCAATCGCTTGGAGAATTAATCTATATGGAAAAAAGAGTTAAGAAAGTTAATATGAGGTATTACATTTACATTCTTAAGCAATTTTTCTATTGTTCGGTTCGCGAAATGAATAACAAGTCTGTTAACCGAGAAAAAAAATTCATTTTGGAGAATGATGTTTCACATATATGTATATACCTATATGTGGAGCCAAACATAGTAAGTACGATAATTGCTAGTGTTTTGCAATTAGGACAGTTTTCTGAAACATGTTGTCCCCAAAATTCTTCAATGGCTGCACTTATTTTTGTTTTCAAACACATATCTTCCTGTAAATCAGTTATCTCCAATTGAAGTGAAGCCGTTGAAAGATTAAAAAGATTCACAGCCACATCGGTCCAATCCCCTGATGGTGATACTTCAAAAGGGGAGTTCAAGAATTGCGATAGCTTTCCTATTTCAGCAAGGCTTGGAATCTTGAGTCAAATTCCTTCCTAAGTTCTGATATAAAACTGTAGAACAACAGTATCTGGTTCGGAATTGCTTTTATATTAAAGAATAGTTGAAAAATGAATAAATTGCTGATTTACAATATCATTTTCAAAAATATCCAACTTAATCTCTAATTAAATTAATCGCTAAATTAAATCTCTACGTTACGCACATTCAAATATTTTAAAAAGTCTTTCAAAAAAGCGATATTTGCCATATTGGACCTGTTTTCTAAAAATTCCAATTATTTTTTCCCTTCTAATCTATCCAAACTTTCTAAGAAGGCTCTTAGAAGGATGTCAGAGAGAAGGATCTCTCTTTTGTTTCACCAAAACGTTCAGTTACTTGGTGTTTACTTAACCAATGAAAATTATTGTGTTGGAGTAAGTCTGAATAGGGTGATTCACACTTATTGTTAGACAAAAACTCTCTGAATTGCCTATGTTGAAGCGGTCTACTACACCTTCCGGTGCCGTACTGAGGTTGCAACAAGGAGTTGCCTGGTAAATGATGCATTGGTAAAATAGTAACGCAGCATTCTTTATCTTTGGCTATCATTGTCTGGGCTCCGTCGGTTGAAGGAGATACCATTTTATGGTAACTAATCTCTGATTTTATCATAAAATCATAAAGAAGCTTAAATAAATCTTCTCTACCGGTCCCGTCTTTCAATGGCAGTATTGTCAGCAATACTTCTTTAAATACTTCTTTCTCAATATCGAAAAATTGAACATAACCAGACATTTGCTCATCGTCATCAATATCATATGATTCGTCCACTGCAATAGCGTAAGAAGGCGTGATCTGTAAAAGGGCAAACAAGCTGGCTTTGTTATCAGCAGCCAAAATTTCTGTTCTTTGTATATTACTCCCTTGCCGACAAACGTACATTTTGAATAACGTTGACTATGTCTATTTTCTACGATAAGTGCTGTAGCCACTTGTGATAAACATTCTTTGATTATTTCTGAATCAAAAAATGGCTTTTAATGCTTATTAGGCGCCAAACGTACGCCAAACAGAGCTTCTGAAGATTTTTCTTGTTCTGTCATACATTTACCTACCACAGCAGTGCCTTTAATGTAAGATTTTAAATATGTCTGTATTTTTTCAAGACGCACGCACTTCCAAGAGAGAAATTTTTGCGAAAGACTTGGTCATTTGTTTTGTAATGTCGTTTTAAATTGCCACTTTTAATAGTAGCGACCGTTTTATTATTCAGCTCTATCTGGCAGTGTGAGACAGTACTGTTCAGTCCACTCACTTAAAAACATCCTATTTTCGGAATCTACTTTACGTATTTTAGGATCCATGTTATTTTGAATATTAAAGAATGTTTTAATATTTCAATATCGAAGTACAGGTAAAAGACGGGTGGATTAAGTTGATTAATAGATTATACCTTAGCTACTTTGGACACCTCGTGAGGCTAATCTGACTGACGGAACACCTTGTTGTAGAGCTAAAAATGAATGGTAAACGAGCACGAGCAAGATCACCGATCAGACGGGGAGATAGGCTGAGGCACCTGACGGAACAATTGATGCACTGGACTATACCGATGGCGCAGGACTGGGAGGAATGGAGTAGAACAATAAGTATCTAATGTCACCAAAATCCTCTCAAGGGTAGATTAAGGAGTCAACACCAAGTCGTTGTCCATGCAGAATTTCAACAGGTTTATCATTCTATTTAGGGTGTCTTCTTCAATCATTCCTTTTGCTCCTTTCCATCTCTTAAAATCCCTTCCCACTACAGTTGCAACTTGTTCAAAAATTTTTCCCTCATCGTCACTTCTACAATTTTAGTAGAAGCGTGTAGGAGCGTGGTAAATACGGATCAGCTGCTGGATAGATAGAAGCAGTATTTTGAAAGACTCGTTAATAAAGTACGCCAACCCACAGAAACAACGGTAGTAGGAACTGGGTAAGGAATTGGCGAACGGCTACAAGGAGTAGGAGTTCTTGACGGCATGAATTGAAGGAGGTTAAGGCTCAGTCTGGGCTGTAACACCACTGGAGGAAGACGAAGAAGAAGAAGGAGTCCAGTTCCTCAGAGCATGAATTCCTTTTTGATTGTGCAAGTCACTTTTGCTTGCCCTCAAACCTTTTTCTATACTCCACTGATTACATCTACGTGATTGTACATACACGTGATTATACCTATTTTAGACTTTTCTAATTCTTGTATTAGCTCATGTCCCTTACCATCCATCCCTTTAACATTCTAAGTGCCCGCACATCATGTAGCAATCCTACTGTTTTCTTAGCCTTTTTCCGTCTTATTCCTTTGCGTGAGTCGTCACCAAGTTTTCAGTCGGTCTCTTCTCAGATTTTTGAATTCTGTGGGTACTCTTTAATTGTCAGTTTCCCCTCTTCAATATTCCAAAATCACACTTTTCTATCTACTAAGAGCTTCTGATACATTACTCTTTCTTTTGTTATGTTCCTAATCTTCAGTGCGATACGGGTTTATAAATATATTGTCACCTTTTATTTGTTTTTCAACATGTTGACTTTATCCTGGTATTTTGATAGTTTTATTACGCAAACATTGCGCCCAATTTTATATGCTTCCTTTATTTCTTCGTTTAGTTCCAAAAACTTCACAATTAGTTCTTTGAACTTAATCCTTTGTGTTAATTTTCATTCCCCTTATGATCAGATTGTTTCTTCGTGTTCTTTTCTCTAGTTTCTCCAGATTTTCACCACATTTTCTTCCTTAGTCCTACTTTGTTGTTTTATTAGACGCTTTGCCTCGTAGTAACTTTGCTGTTCTTTTCTTACTTCTTTAATTTCTGTCATTACGGCTCTTTAACCGAGACTGTCACCGTAGATTTTCAATTACTTCCTTATTTATTAATGGATTGGATTAATTTATCGTATGTCATGTTTCTACAATAGTTATGAACCCGGCAAGAAGAAGGCAAGAACGGAAAATAAAATTTGAAGAAAAATATTGCTTTATTTTTTAAAATAGTAAGATTTTTATGATTTTTCTTCTTGGCCCGGATGTAAAACAATAAAATAGAAACATTATTCCTGTAGCAATTTTTCGAAATATTAATAATAAGCTCGTAATTAGTAATTTACGGTTTTACATTAAATTTTAATATTTTGGAATATATTTTGCTTCCCGGATTTCACGAGCGATGATTGGTTAAAGAAAAATACATGTGGGCTGACTATGTTTTTATGAAACATACATAAAAAACTAGTTTGTAGACATATTTCTTGTCTACCGACTGCATACCATGAAACGGAAGCTTACTTTTACTGATGTCGTGTCCAAATCCAAAAGTGTATTTTTATAGTTACGATTTTCGATAGCGTTTATTAGTTGTTAATTTAGTTATAGTAGTTATTAGTAATTAGTTTATTAGTGATCTTATAAAATGGGAAAAGTGTCGAAAGCAGAGTCGAGAAAGAAACACCTTCCTCCAAGTACAAAACGATATTCTCAAAAAGAACGTATAAACTGAAACAGTAAATACTTTAAATATTAATTTGATGTTACATTAAAATTATACGTAAATATTTGATTTAGAGGGGGTCGTAAAACGGAAAGTACAAGTACTAGTCTTGAAGGGCATCATGGAAACAAAAATGATTCCGGTCATATGTTTGCTGATGATGCTGGTGATGCATTAAATATTGAAATAGACTGTAATATCGAAAAGAATTTTTCTATCACAGGTCAAAGGATTGTTGATATAGGCATCTTTTGGAAGCAAACAAAGATGCTCCTTTTTTAATTGTTCTATAGAACAGTGTGAAATAGTCAATGAGAAATTAGTAGGATTTAAGACAATAATCACTGTAAAATGTGCGGTATTGAGAATACTTTGGACACTGATAAGAGTGAGACCGAATTGGATGTTAATTCAGCTGCAGTGTTAGGTTAATAAGCATTGCTTTTTAATTGTTTGTTTTGAAATATTGAATATTAACGTGTTTAGGTTCAATTGCAGTTGGTATTGGATGCTCATAATTAAGACAGTTGTCGTCAATTCTAAATATTCCACCTATCTCTCCACCACTGTACCAAAGAACACATACACAATTAGCCAATATAATTGACTCTGTAAACACTGAAGAAATAAAAGAAGTTGGTAAATTAAAGGCTAAATTGACAATAAAGGACAGTTCTGTTGATGAAACTGGAATTCCATGTATAAGTGTGATTGCTGATGGCGCTTGGTCAAAACGACCTTATCGCACGAATTACAATGCTTTGTCTGGGGTAGGTGTAATAATTAGCAGTATGACAAAGAAGATTTTATATGTAGGCGTACGCAATAAGTATTGCATAACTTGTCAGAAAGCAAAAAATTATAACAAAATTCCGAAAAAACATATATGTTACAAAAATTGGGCGGGAACATCAACCTCAATGGAGACCGATATTGTTGTAAGTGGTTTTAGAAGTAGTCTTGCAACGCATGGACTAAAATATTTAAAATTAATCG